GAAGAAGATGTAAATCCTAGTAACAGGAGGTTGGTTATTATTCAAAAATAATTATTTTGTTTGTTAAAATATTTTTTATATGAATATCTTTAAATTTCTCCTAAATTGATGGATCTTTATGTATTTCAGTAGCATGACACCGACACGACGTTATACCATTCACGAAATACCGTCTCCAGTAGCGTGAGTATTTTAAATATAGGTACCGATTTTTTACATCATAAACACCACTTTTCGAATTTTGTCATTTTTTTTTTAGATTTGAAACCGTGACAACAGAAAATAAACCGTTGAAAAGATCAAAGCGTGCTAAATCACTTTTCTTTGGATCCGAATACAATGTTTCCGAAAAATTAGCTAAAGAATCGCTTGCCAATTCATTAGACGAATCCTGTACATCCATTAATCCTCAGGAAATCCAGTCTGCATGGAAAGATTCAACTTCAGCAGCTAAACATACAACGCCTCTTCAAAGTCAGGAACCTTCAAATCCCTTTTCAAATGCAGTAATAGAACCCCAACCTTCCACTAGTAAACATTCACCTATTTTATATTCGCCCCTAGCTAATGAAAAGCTTTCCTATTTAAGAACCGGTGTTAAAACTAGAGGAGGAATTAAACGAAGCACTGGTATTAAAATACTTAAAAATCAAAGAGTAGTCTTACAGGATAATAAAGTAACACTGACTGTTTTAGAAGAAAAAAGTGAGGGTAATGATGATATAATGGACGAAATGAGAAATATATTTGAAGGGGAAGACAATGAAGGTAAACTTAAAACAAAACTACAATCTGAAAAGGTATTAACTGAAGAAGACCTAATTAAGATGCTGGAATTGGATAGCGACTTAGATGAAGAAAATAGTCAGGAAAATGCATCAGACTATGATTGTTCACACTCTGACGCAAGTGAAGATACGATGCAATTGAATGAAGATGCGACGCAAGTGAGTGAAGGTGATAACATAAATTCTAACGAAACCCCACAATTTGCTAATGACGAATGGAAAACAGAACGTGATCCTTCAATAGTACCTATAGATTTTAATGGACAAGAAAAAAAACTCAAAATACTTCCCGAAACAAATGAACCTTATGAATTTTTTAAATTGATAGCGACTGATGAGTTTTTCTCAATGTTAGTCACAAAGATAAATAATTACGCGTCAAAGTTGTTATTAAATATATTGGACCCTAAAAACAGACTGCGACTTTGGAAAGACGTAACCATTCCAGAAATCAAAACATTTTTTGGCCTTTTGTTCCATATGGGAACAATAAAACTAAACAGAGTAACAGATTATTGGAAAAAACATCCACTATTTAGTTTACCAGTTTTTTCAAAATATATGAGCAGGAACAGATTTCTGTTAATTATGAGGACACTGAATTTTGAAGACGACTTGTCCGACAACATGCTGTCAAAAATAAATAGTTTAATCCAATATTTCAACCAGCGAATGGAAGAAATATATTACCCGTCCAAAAATCTGGCAATAGACGAGTCGATGGTTTTGTTTCGTGGTCGTATTATATTTCGTCAATATTTAAAGGGAAAAAAGCATCCCTACGGAATAAAACTTTATATTTTAACAGACGAATATGGAGTAGTCTTGAAAACTATAGTATATGCCGGAGCCAATGATACTTTAGTAGGAGGTGCCAATCACACTGAAAAAGTTGTTTTGAATTTACTTTCTAATTATATAAACAAAGGATATTCCGTTTACATGGATAATTTCTATAATTCAGTAAATCTTTCACAAAAATTATTAGCACTTAATACATATTGTTCGGGTACTTTACGTGTTAATAGAAAAAATAACCCAAAAGAAGTCGTACAAAAAAAATTGAAACGTGGCGAATCCATAGCGAGATTTAATAGTAGTGGTATTTGTGTTTTAAAATGGAAAGACCGGCGTGACGTCCTAATGATTTCTTCACAACATGGATCTACCATGACTACCATTACAAATCGACGCGGTGAAACGGTTTCCAAACCTGAAGTCGTAGTAAAATATAACAGATACATGGGTGGCATAGATCACCAGGACCAAATGCTGGCATACTATACATGTGAGCACAAGACCATACGGTGGTATAAGAAGTTAGGGGTGCACGTGTTCCAGCAAATGTTGTATAATGCGTACACGCTGCACAACATTTTTTCGACAAAGAAAAGTTTCTATGATTATAGGCTTGAAATCATAATGAAATTGTTGAATATTGATGAAGAAGACACAACACGAGGATCAGTCCCAAAATGTCGAGTGCATGTTCTTCAACAATGTTCTCGCAAAAATGATGGCACAACGAGAAAAGTTTTGCGACGTCGGTGTAGGCAGTGCTGGGTGTCAAAAAAAGTCAGAAAAGACACATCATATTTCTGTCGCGACTGTCCCGAACAATATGGATTTTGTATAAAGGATTGTTTTGAAGTGTATCACAACTACTAATTCTATTGTTTTTTATTAGTTTGATTTTGTGTCCCACTGCTGGGAAAAGGCTTCTCACTACTCCTTCCAAGCCATGTTTTTTTAATAATAAATATATCTTCATTTACAATATTTTTGTTTTGTCATAATTTCAACCTATTTATTCACTAAAATATTGTATACTTGCCTACCTGCAATCCATCAAAATCTTCGATTCTGCACGACCTTTGGAAATTCGTCCAGACGTTTTTTCATACATACGTAAACAGTTGGGCGAATTCATATGTAATTTGGCACACATATAACATGTAAAAACTTTTTACAAAAAAAAAAAAAAAATGAACAGACTTCAATGTAAAAAAGTGCAAAATGACTTTAAATTTTGGGAGTCGGTGTTTCTATAAATAGTTTGGTCTGTTCGTAATAAAACATCGACTTCCGAAATTTAAAGTTATTTTCCACTTTTTTTACATTGAAGTCTGTTCTCTTTTTTGTTGTAAAAAGTTTTTTATTTCACAGTTTTTTTTTAGTTGAACTACTCCTCAGCCAAACTTAATGCAACCGGTTAATTTAAAGGCATTATTTGAGGTCAAATATGTCAAGCAAAATAATTGTGCGTTCACAACATTCTTTACTATAAATGTTTGGGCAGCCATAAATGTTTATTTTTAAATAAACGTAGATTATATTAATAAATAAAACAACGGCAAGTAAATATATTGACATATCTTGGTTCCTTAACATGTTGCATAATACTGTCCAAACGTCAACGCAAACGGTGAGTTGAATGGCACTTACGAATTAAATTCTTTTAGTAGTGCCACCAACGCATTTGTTGCGTTTACCATTTTTGAGTGGGTTTTTTTTATTTAAAGTTTTTTTTTAATTAAAAAACACATTTATTTACGTATTTTCTATTGTAATCATTAAAAATATTAAGTGGCACTCATGTGAAGTTTTAAAAATTTAAGTAGCAACGAATGGGTTAATTTATTTTAATTGTTACTTTTGTGTACGAAGAATACGAGCCCATACTAGAAGTTATATCGTTTATAATGATTGAATTTCTAAATAATAATCTAGCATGTTAGTTATTGTCAACACAAAACAGTCGAGTCCATAATCGAAAGGGTTGTGCAAGGATATATTTGGTGTGGACCTCACACATATCTACTGACCTTAGACAGCCATCAGACCCTGGTTGTCATATAAATGAGGAATCCAGGTACGTTTGGAATGACTGTTCGATATTAATATATAGTCTTCTCGATTTGCTTGTTGAAAATTAGTATGTACGAGACCTCTTTGAGGAAAGTTAAGACCTCACTTATAAGTTACATGAGTAAATAGGACTTGGAACTTAACTCTCTAATTTGAATTAATTACATTGTGATAAATAAGATTGTGACAATTGTCATGAATAAGATTGTGACAATAAGTACCTAATTAATTACAGTGTCTGCTAACATTCTACGGCTCTTCCGTAGACGAAAACAGATCTCAGTCAGTCCATAAAGAAAACTATAATATGAAATCGATTCTGCTAGTCGTAGGATACACCCGGGTAAAGGTGGCAAGTCAACTGTTTGTATGAAATCGTTAAACAGACATTCTACGCGAACAAAGTCGTAAGTAAAAGCAAGTGGTGAGTGTAATGAACAGATATATACATACAGCTTTGGATACGAACTCGTATTACAAGTAGTAGCAGTGGTGCTAGGACATCTTATGTATGGACTTTAAATTAATCAACCAACTATAAACTAAGTACAAGATATATAATTAGTACCTACTGACTTGTACCAGCGACTTCGCTGCGTCCCCGGGGGTATAAAGTAGCCTGTGTTAGTACATAGGCTCCAGATCACAATCTATTCTTAAATTCGTTTCAATTTCATCCCGGTCCCTTTAGTAACTTAGTCAGATGCCTGTTTCAATCAAATTTTCGCATTCCTAATAGCGGTTCAAGCTAATTTTGACTATCGGCCTTACAGCTAAGCAAACTTATAATTGCGTTTGGTGCAGTAATTGTGTCTAGGGATCGAGCCGCAGGTCGCCGAGGTTTGTGTTTCGGGATAAAAAGTCCAGGATATTAAAGTATTATCATACCTTTCATCGTAATCAAACCGGTAGTTTTTGCTGCGTGAACATACATGATTTCACAGTAATGTAAACAAATTCATTAATTACAAAATCTTTTATTTTTCATAAAAAAAAAACATAAACGCAGGTACAATTGCTATAAATACAAAAAATAACAATTAAATTCAATTAATTATATAAAATTATAATTAATCAAAGAAACAGTTGAATCATTTTGAACTGAGAATCACGTGGACGACGTGCGTCGTAACGTGGGTGTACCACGTGGCTACGTACTGCTGCAGGTTACCTGCCATTATAACTTATCACCTAAATGCTGTCGTGGCTTAATCTTATGCTAGAAGAACACTCCTCTTATAAACCTGCATGAAGCAATTACAATGTGTGTCTACTACTTGTACAAGTCTGATGACTGGAGCAATGTATGAGAGTGTCTGTAGAACATAGCGTAGGACGCGAAGACTAGGCGTGCAGCGGCGGCGCCTCCGCCGGCATGAAGGAGCGCACGATGCCGACGAGCGCCGTGTACGTGCCGGCTACGAGGCCCACCACTCCTACTATGAACAGCGCCACGTCTTTGACCAGGCGCATGCGGCCCGGCCCGAACTTGTCCGGGAACGACACACACATCTCCATCAGCGCCGGGAAGCAGATGCCCAGCGCAGACAAGCACAGCGCCCCAAATAGAGAGATGAACAGGCCCAACCGAGGCACCGCCACGGCCAGCACAACTGCAACAACAATTCTCAGTCAAGTACTCGAACGATGCCAATCGTAACATTGTGATCAAAGCGTAGTATACGTACAGGTAAGCAAGCACAGCCCCACGCGCAGGCCGTACTCGGCGAGGCGCAGGCGCGCGGGCGGCGCCCCCGAGCGCTGCAAGCGCGGCAGCAGGTAGCCGCGCCACACCACCTCCACCGGCACGTAGCAGTGCAGCCCGTAGCTGATGAAGATGGCCACCGCGAACATCGCGATCACACTCGTCGCCAGCCTGCCACACGTACAGTCAAAATAAATACTTCTTCAAATACATATAAGACTAATCGTGTATGTATACCTATGCTAACAAAGGTCGTGACAGATACGATAAAGGATTCGAACAGTTTCATTACATTGTCAGAAACGCAAGAAGTGTTTTCGACTGTTGCCTTTGGTTTCCCTGGGGGTCTCATCTTTAGATTGTCATTATCATTCTCATCATCAGCATCATTAAGATCGTCAGCAGCCTATAAGTGGCCACTGCTCACAGGCCTCTTCTCACACGGGTAAGGTTTGAACCTTAATAACCACGCTTGCTTAATGCGTCTTGGCGATTTCAAACTTATAATTAGAGAGAGACCAGCTAGTGTACTTATATTATTTACTAGCTACTCCGCGCGGTTTCATCAACTCTGCTCGGCGCCTGTTAATGGTAGCGTGATATTTTATAAGCCTATAGCAGAGATGGTGAATCTTTACGTATCTACGTGCCATTTTTCTAAAGAAATATTTAAGAGATACCACATGTGCCATACAAATAATAATTAATTAATTTTGGTAGTTCGTTAAGCAGAATTGATGCTGAACGTCATTTGTGTAGGTAACTGAATCATGAATGATATTCATATATGAAAAAAAATAACGTCATAGGACAATTTTTTTGATTAATGACCTGCCCAAAATATTGTATTGGGTGCCATCAATGACACGTGTGCCAATGGTTTGCCATCCCTGGCTATAGCCAGGGATGGCAAACCATTGGCACACGTCGAGTCCATTATCCATCGAGTCCATTTATCGAGGCCGGCTATAGCCGGCCTCGATAAATGGACATCCAACACAAAAATATTTTTCAAATCGTAGCAGTAGTTCCTGAGATTAGTGCGATCAAACAAAGAAACTCTTCAGCTTTATAAAAGTAAGTAAGTATAGTTAAGAAGTATAAATAAAAGATATCGAAATTATTACATTCCACTGAATCTATGCACAAATCTAGTATCGATATTGGTGTTATGTTATTGGTATGGAGTTGCGGACATCCTGGACCGAGGTCAGTGCTGTGGTTGAAGTGGCCGTAGCCTCAGTCTCAGCCGTCATTGAAATACCTTCCTACTGTTCTAAACTGACACTTTATTATTATGCATATGCACTTGATACCTAACTACTTGCAATGTGATCAGTGTAATTGCTGCTGCTTCTGAAATTGAATGAATGATAGTGCATAAGGTAAGTAGAAGTCAGTACTGACGGTCCCTGCGGCAGATCCAGTGTGACGGAGTCGCTGCACTCGGACACGCAGAACACGTAGCCGAGCGCGCCCACCGCCACGTACAGCAGCACTATCACCAGCATGCCGCTGTTCAGCACGCCGCACGGAGTACCGAACGCCTTCGGAGTGGCCATGTTGTTCTCCAGGGCAATGACCTGCAACACTCGCGTCACAATATGTCGCAGCGTGCAGAGCGCAGTGGCCAGTGCTGGGTCGCTGGTCGCTGGGACATTACGAGTTACTGAATCGCTCAGCGGATACAAGTGTTATTTGGTAGATAGATATAAGTAATTTAATTCTTGAGTACAAAGAGCTTCCAATTATTTAATCGAACAATTTAGTTTGGCACCAGCACGCGTTAATGTTCTGAATGAAGAATGGTAAGTAACTCACCACTCCAACTGCCGTCAGTGCAAACAAGATGGTCCCAAAGAAGAGCGGGAAGGTTGAAAGTGAGCCCCAGAGGTCCAGTGGCGCGGAGGACTTCTTGTTAGTGAGCAGGTAGTAAACCACTATTCCCAGTCCCACGAATGTGAGCACGTTCGCCAGCGCCGAGAATGGAGCCAGCAGCTTCAGACTCGGGATCAGGTTGAAGGCGATCAGTGGGCCCAGGATTATAAGCATGTGGAACTCGACTGCCATCGAATAGTAAGGGTCGACCATCTAGAACCAATCTAGTAATATTATTCACTGAGCATACCAGTTATATTATAAATATAATATTAAACGTAAAAGTATATACTTATACGTTTTATATTAAACCCAGTAAATCAACCACATAGAGACGGACAATGAACTACTCTACGCAAGGGAATCAATCTCGGTTCTCACATAAGTGCGTAGGTGAAAGGTGGAATTCCTGCTCCAATAAAATACCATTAAAACATTGCGTCATGGGCTCATGCGCGGTGGATTGCTTGATGAATATTGACGTAAGGAAATGGGCACGACGCCGCCCCACTTAACTCAATTGTACCGTCCGCGATCCCACGTCCGCCGCGTACCGAGCCGAGCGTGCGCCCGGGAACTCGCTTCGAGTACCAAACCGACTTCACTAAATCATTATTTTACCAAGTCAATTAAATAAGAGTCTCTTATCTACTTGACCGGTTGAACTAATAATCTAACCTTTTTTATGTTATCAGCGATGAAGACGATGTAGACGCAACATATCCCGAGTTGGTAAACGACCAGGAAGATGTCGACGGTGGTAGCGAGCGAACCGGCGAAGCGGCGCAGTGGTGGCGGTCCTGCTTCGAGTGCCGCCGACATAGACTGGGGGTAGGTAAGAAGCGGAACTCTCAGGCGTCGGCATGCCGCGTACTGCGATCGAACCTGAAATGCAATACACACAAATATTACCTACATGCTAATATTATAGTAGGTGCAAAACGGTGGGGTTTACGTGTGGGAGGGTCATGCTTCGGTACGAATGGGCCGGCTCGATCGGAGTGATACGGCCTTGCTTGCGTTGTGTTTTGTCGAGTGAGTGCTGTTACTGGGGACCCAATTACTGCCAATGTCCCCAATGTCCCCAATCCCCAACAATCCTCAAATTCCTAATCTCTAAAAAGCCGGTAACGCATTGGTAACACCTCCAGTTGCTTACCATCAGGTGATTCGTCTGTTCGTTTAAAACAGGTTTATTCAATAAAAAGAAGTTTCATCCAAACCTGACTACTGAGTTATTGTGACAATGTGACAATGTGGTACTCCAATATTGTTAAGTTATTTTTACTGCTTCGTGGCAAGCTACGTTTCCGTGATTAATGTTGGTTACACTTCAGTTACACAAAGTTAACAATAGTCCATTCACAGGCTGGGTGCGCGACAGGTATAATGCGTAGTTTGCAGGCGATGATGGTATTGACCGCTCACCAGCACGTGGAGGCAGTGGGTCACTAAGGCGCCGACGATGATGGTCGCCAGCACGCCGGTGACTAAGCCGGCGCGAGCGAATGCTTGCGGCATCGCCAAGATGCCGGTGCCCAAACTGCATTTGAGAAGGTGCACCAGCGTCTCCCAGTTGCTGGAAACAAGCGTAACGAGTATTACCTGCGAGTGATTGAAGAATGTGTTGGACATCACGATACAATCAACTGATACTATGATAATAATGGTATCAAAGTCTCTAAGAGGCAATTGCGTGCACTCTAGAGGTATACGACGACTGACTTCCATCCCCGGCTTTGCACGCGGGAATTAGTTTTAGACTTTGCAAAATTTTAAGAAGTTTATTGTTTTATTCCGTGAAAGTAATTGTTTATAAACTTTCGCAGAATGGTTCAAACAGTAGGTCGTGATTGCATATTTTATTACATTCGTGGAAATTGACTTCCTTCCGAGGTATTTTCGAGGCTATTCGAATCTATTCGAAACGTAATATTTCCAATTGCCATTAACTTAATAAATATTGTAACGCATGTTATTGTTTACATTACATTTTGTATCATTTTATATTCACTGTTCTAGCGCTACGTTGCCCACCTACATCTTCTCCAAGACGATTGTGTCCTATAAATATGTGAGACACGTATTAAATCAACGTGATTATCCCTGTAACGATAAATGTCGCATTACGCTAGTGTTGTACTTGTAATAATGCGAAAGCATGTCTGTGTGAAATGTTTACTGTAACAGTGAAGTGAAGTTGGAGATATTTGTGAAGGAGGTCGTGAACAAATCGCTGCTCATCGAAACACGATCAGATTATTGAAAAGGCTTCCAAGTTCCACAAACTGATCTAACAGAACAGAACAAAAACAAATCGTTCCTTTGTTGACTTCTCAAGATTTTCAAAGAGGATTAGCTTTGTTGAGAACAATCGATACATTTAGTCACCACTGCTAATGTAATGACTATACGGAACTTAGTACTGCCTCGTTGGCCAAGTAGTCGCTAGTGCGACTGCCGAGCAAGGGTTCTCGGGTTCGATTCCCGGGTCGGGCAAAGTATTACTGGCTTTTTAATTCTCAGTAGTAGCACGGAGACTGAGGTGACCCTATGGTCACCCCCTCTTCCATGGGATCCATAACATAAATAGTGAAAAGTGCGTGTTACATTGTACAGTGGCATAATGTTCACCTCTGCCTACCCCTTCGGAAATAAAAGGCGTGATGTTATGTTTTATGTGGAACTTAGTAATATTATTAGAAGAATAACGCGGTAAAACTGGTTTGAATATCCAACAGTGGTGGATGTGAGGATGAAATAAAGCAAATAATAGTTGTACCATGTGTCAGCTCAACAAAGTATGAAGAATTAGAATGACAGTAGACTATAATTCTCGTGTTCATTACTCGGTTGCGGTTCTCAGTGATTCCATAGTGCGTTTACTGACCACGTATGTAATGTATCTCTCCCTATTACGTGTCACGCGCTCGTGGTCAGCGCCGTGTACAACGTGCCAGACAAAGTAGAACATGGCGAGCAATATTTTGCGCCGGCAGTCTCTGCTAGGCATACAAGGGCGGTGTAAGTGGGTTTATACTCACTTCGTTGGGTTCGACAGTTGGCGATGCTCGTGCGGGTCGTACTCGGACTCGCACTCCCTGCGGGCAATGGTAGTTGTGTCATCAAGTCATCACTTACAGGCGCTACTTGTGCAGCAGTGCAGCAGTCAGCAGCCGCTGCTTGACATACTCACTTGGACCCTGGCTGAGCGGCCTCGCCCACGGGCTGGAGATGCACCGTTTCGGAGTTGTGGCTGTCTTGTGACTTGTTCATTTTGGCGACGGCTAGAATAGACAAGTTTAGGGACACGTGAATCTTACAATACAATACAGCCTTATTACGCAAGTGCTTATGTAACAATCCAATTATTCAAATGTACGCAGTAAGGAAGCTTCTTGTGGTCATACACATTTTATCTAGACGTATTCGCAAAAGCCAAATAAGCATTTAAAAGCCTCTAACATACAAAATGTTCAAATGTTTCTCCTATAAGTATAATAATATTTGAATTTAAAACTAAACGTAGTCGCCACACACAGCCACACACAGCCACACGGTAGTACATATACTTCGGTAACTCTGTTCTGGACTAACAGAGTCCAGTTCGTTCATGTTTTGTCAAAAACTGTCGACTGTACATCTAATATCGCCAGCAGCCGTTAGAATACCTATAAATGTTTAAAAACAAGCTGAAAAAGAGAAACAAATCGAATATCTTGATTTAGCTCACGAGATATGAAGTCTAAAATCAGTTATTATTGTGTCGACCAATAGGTTAATCAACAGAAGTCACCTCAGAAGGCTAGCAGGCAGATTAAGGACCTGCCGCAGAAAGCAGCTCGAGGCACACATATTGAGACGGCGTCTGTGTACGCGGCGCTATTAATTTTTAATATTTGACTACTTTTTAGAGGAAGGACAGATAAGAGTGTATAAAGTCTGTTTTGTGGCGCAGTGACTCGTTTCTGTATATTTTTAGCACAAAGTATCGACTTTGCTAAACAAAACTACAGGTACATAACATTAACCCCGGGTTTATACACCCACTCCACTCATCAACTGACAGTCGAGATGCTTTCGGTATTGAACTCCATTTCATATGAGAAGGTCCATTTCATATCTGCGTTTGATCATATTAATTTATTTAATTTATGATAATAATTTTATTATCATTTATCGAATAGATGTATAATAATAATTCTTTGAAAGAACAAAGAAAGCGCAAGTAAGTAGTCTACTTGAATATATGTACTATAATGATACAAATAGTTGTCACGGCATGACATGCCCAGCTTACATTGTGTGTTCGCGAATAGTTTCCGAGACCAGACCGCTCTGCTTTTTTGTGTTAGTTTGATTTTCCGACCTAATAATAGACTTGTGAAAAGTGGCTCAATCTTTACAAATTTAAATAGTGCAAGCGCGCTCTATGTTTACGTAAAGTACTGAAGAACGTAAATATTACCGGCCATTTTCTTTTATGTAATACCCACAATGCATTTATGAAACAATTTTGTTGTCCAACGCAAAAAGTTATTAATAAATAAGTAGTACATAGGAAATAGAATTACTATTGTAAACATTACATACAGAATAACCGCAGTAGTTACAAGGACAACAGGCCACACTGGTCGCAGTGACACACACTACTGGTCACAGGAGAGCGTGGCAGGAGAGCAGCGCGCGCGCACGGTCCCGGCGGCGGCGGCGCGGACTGAGCCGCGGCCGGCGCGCGCGCGCCCACGCCCTCAATCACCGTGCTCAGGGCTCCGCTTGTCAACTATAAGTCATTTACAGGCAATTGGATCGCTGTCACAACCGGCGCCTGCTCCATCTCCACAGTACAATAAGTACGAACGTAAATAGTTGCAACAAGTGACTTTATTGCTTTGTACTAGCAGTACGGCTACCTCACACTGACCTACATATTGCCGAGAATAAATACTATCAATTCAGGTCCACTAAGAACATTGCAAGCATCAACGAAATACTCTCTAAAATAGTCCTAGACCCCCAATTTAATTATAGATGTCGTATCGTCATCATTACTCAGCCACAATAGATACGTCCAATACTGAACATAAGTCTCGTAAATTACTTCCAGGTAGGCTGAGTAGCAGCGACATCTGGCGGCTCTCTGCGACTGTAATCAAGTTAGTCCATCTGAGGTGGCATAAAATGATAACAATAAACTATCGACAAGTGATAGATATTTTAAAGATTATTTCGTCATGACTAAGGATACAGAGACCGAGTAACGTTAAACACAAAAAACAAACAAATACCTAAAAAGATTTATTAATTAGTAGTCAAATGTACTGATAGGTTGTCTACCCACTGAAGTCACTGCCACAACTATTAAATAAATAATTAATTGAATTGAAATTGTAATCGCCAAACCTTAATAACCAGCTGATACCGAGCTGTTTATAAACTTTTATTTAAAAGCTTCTGCCCGCGACTTCGTATGCGCAATCTCGGTGCCATGTTCAAAGCCAAACTGATTGAGCTGTTCTTAAGTTGGCCGTTACCATAGTGCCACAGGTTTTAGTTTAGTACATGGTTATGCAATCCCGGTGTACTACGTATGACCCACATGAGTGCAAAGTTCTCGTCGTTGCGAATAATTGAACACTAGGTAGCTACTGTTAACTGTTGAGGGTCGACTTCCCTTAGCGATAATACTATTTCATCATCGGGCCCCAATGAGAACCACACTCCATCTAGGTATAAAGTTCTCATCAATATGAAGTATCCAAGCCCAAATACGGGGTCATCTATTATGCTCGAGGAGTTATCTCGATTGTATCTGGGCTCCATCATCAAATTATCTCTACACCTTTATCAAATTGAAGTGGTTTAAATACTTAATAAAAAATAAGCAGACGCACAAATGGCCCCTATAATTTTAAAAAGTTCCCCTCTGTTTACCTGGGATCCCATCATCTGATTGGCAATGGCACCATCCCAAGAATAGTAAAAACCTTTCTAAAGTATAATCAAAATCATTATACAAACGCCGCAGTAGTCATGTAATACAAAAAGAAACAGACGTATTAAGAACCTCCTGCGTTTTGGAAGTCGGTTAAACGTGACTTCCCAATTCAGTTGACTTCTATATTCCCATCCTTGCATAAGCTACACTGCTCTAGATATGAAATAAACATTATATATTATTATATCTCTGTCGCTAGGGAAGGCCACTAGTCGTCGACCCATAGGACTTCATCCGTTAGAGTTGATTGAGATTGGTTTGATTATTGCAGCTATGGATTTTGTAAGGCTAAGACGGTCGCAAAACGCTTCTAACGCACAGAAAATTTCATACATTAATTCTGTATCTTCCGGTAGCGATTTTATACGCTTTAGATACTTCCTCGCGATACACCGTCGCGAGTTGCTGTAACTCTCTAAATCTCTCTCCTGAATTAGAGAAACTGTTTTGGTTGCGGTATCCTTACCCGAACTACATCGAAAGCCAGCCATAATGTCCACAATGAACAGAGAAACCAAACAAAACTCTCACAAAAGCAACATTCAACGATTACACACTTATTTACAGTGACACCGTGAACACAAACCATTGAACTTCATATCATTGACTATAATATTTTGATAACTCTTGAGTTCAATCACCTTTTTATCCTGAACCTAAATTGTTGTGGAAGATAATTGTGTTTCCCCTGTTTAGAGGATATGTTTATGTTCAGTGTGCCTTATATTAAAGGGAGTTCTATCTCTGGCGAGTTGGCGACCTTCTACAAAGATCTCTTGAGTTACTTTAAGACAAGACTATCAGAGAGATTGTAAACATACTATTTTTTCTAAAAGAGTATGGAGTTTCTTGCTCGTACTTCCCCATTCGAATCTATTTTTTGGAACGAGCACCTAATTAACTGACGAACAGACTGACAAACTATTATTTATTTTATATTTGTTGACGTTTCCAAAAGTCCCAAGGTTTAATTGAAATAAATGCTTTTGAGTTTGAGTTTGACAAACATAATATGGAATTAACTGTGGTGGTGTGGTGGTGTGGTGGTGTCGTGGTGTGGTGGTGTGGTGGTGTGGTGGTGTCGTGGTGTGGTGGTGTGATGGCCTCTATTTTGTTTTGAGTCGATATAGATGACGGTTTAACCTTAGGTACTTATTGTATACATAATTATATTGTACCCGGTTCCATAGGTTTATTTATAGTATGCTTTGATTTTTAAAATGAATTCAAATTATTTTAAATTTCCATCGGACGGCTCATGGCTTGATTGGTTCATTCGCTAAACTCTCATAGATAATTTAAAATACAAACTTAATTCAACATTACCGTTTTGTCAGTTCTTGCGACCATGTTTAGGCATCCATGTTCCCTACTTGGCTGCAGTGTGTGGTGTATTGTGTGCTGTGTGGTGCAAGGATGATATTGTTTGAGTTACGTAACATGTTGTGGTCGAGACATTGGTGTAAAGATATGATGTAACACTCGCGCTTGCAAAAATACTGAATATTGAAGCTCGAACAGTGATTACAATAGATACATCTATTAGAAGCACAATAAGCATGAGGTAGACTAGTGTGAGTGTGACGTACCCCAGGCCGGAGAGCACGAGCCCGACGTGCAGGAGCAGGTGCGGCGGCAGCCGCAGCCTGCGCGGCACCCGCGTCGGCTGCGAGGTCCCGGCGCGCGTAGGGCGCATGCGCGCTACGCTTAGCCGCGCTTCCACCTACACGCTGCTTTGTGGCCCAGCCTACCACTGGGCTGGCTCTTTCACGATGCTCAGCCTCGTAGACCCCTTCAATACCCAAAGTATAGCATAACCTGAAGCTGATCCTCCTTCGATGTGCTTACACTGTGTAACGCACACGAGCCACATACAATAAGCACAACACAGTTGAGAGGCGGACACGTGAAGTAGCTGGCGAAGGCACGCGGCGGAGTGCGGCGCGCGCCGCGCGTCGCCCGGCGGGTGGCGTCGCGGCGGCGGCGGGGTGGTGCGCCGTGGAGACGCATTACGACTTATTTATACCTCAAGAACGTAACAATAAGTTGATATACCTACTATTAAATTTAATATTTACAATAAAAGACAATTATATCTTTAAGGAGTAAACCAAACAATAAAAACAAGTAAAAGGTAAAATATAAAAAGTAAAAAATAACTATTTTTAGTCATACATACTCATAGGTAACCCTGGGTAACCCACTCATTGACACTTGACAGGTAAGAAGCCGGTGCCACGAATTTTAAACAAAATTATTCGTTACATCCGTAATAGTA